AAATATTGGCCATCTGAAAATCAAGAGTTGAGTTGCCCTCTTGTAGGTTTAATCAGTAAATGGCAGCAAGTAACTGTGTCCTAATGAAATGTCTGTTCTAAAATCTTATTGTTAAAGTTGGTTTGGATTCCGTACAGTCGAGCTGGAAACATTGTGCCCCAGAGGGATGATAACAAAGGAGGTGCTGCCGGACTTACGTGGACACTGTACTCTCCGGGTTTGGCCTGAAAGCAGAAGGCCCCCTGATGATCAGAGTCCACCGTCCTGCTGGAGGCCTTGTCTTGGCCTCGCTGTGTCAGAGTGACCTTGAAGCGGCCCTGCTGCTTCATGCCCTCCGGCAGCCGGCTGATAGAGATCTGCCCACACACGCTGAACCTGTGTGTGTGTGTGTGTGTGTGTGTGTGTGTGTGGGGAGGGCAAAAAGAGTTTAACGTCAAGCCAATTAGGCGCGTTGGGACCACTGAGGCAGATGTTTTACGATCCACTCCCAAACACGTGCGATGCAAGAATTTAATTTCTCTGCGAAAAGGCATTCAAGACAGACGCACCCAGCTGTGATGATGTCGGGGAGCTGTGGTGTGCTGGGGGCGATCTTCACTGTGACCGACTCAAAGAGCATGAGCTCCTTGCTGACACGGATGGTGTATGTACCGGCCGTCATGTTCTCCAACCGGAAAGAGCCGTCCTCCTTGCTGAGGACTGTGAGGACACAACGTTACACTGTTAGTGTGTACACGTACCGTAAGGGATAAAGGAATGTAGCGCTATTGCATTTACACACAGTATTGACACATTTCTGGAGTCTTCTCTACCTTTGATGTGGTTGTTGAGGGATACTGTGGCGTCAGCGACGCCTTCCCCACCGACACTGTTGAGAACTCGGCCGGTCACAGAGAAGCCCATGACGCGGAAGATGGGCTGCGTGAGGAGACGAACACGAGGTAAAGTGCATTAAAAGCATTCTCATTCACGAGATAATGACAAATGCTCAAATGAATATTGAGAAATAAGTTGATTCTTTACCTCCAGTTTCAAACTGTTGTGTTCCACCTTGAAATTCATCCTTGAAGGAGCGACATCGAATGTTATTCTCTCCCCTCGGTAGAAGGGAACCTGAAGGGAAGGGAGTTCACAAAAGCAGAATTACTAAATTACTAATACTAAAAGAAAACACTGATTTACCAGAGAAGCACGAGTTACAATGTAATCCAATTATGCTCGTCCATCTTCCTGCAATAGACACCCTCAATGCATCTGTCATTTTCTTACTCTTTGCTAGTTTTTAGTGGTGGTGGCGGCGGCAGACTCTGCCTTGGCCGTAGTAGATTCAGAGTCTCAGCCTGGGGTTGCATTAGAACAGAGGGGGGGGGGGCCTTCTTGGGCTACATGGAGGAAGCTTACCACGGTGTACTCGCCGCTGGCCAGTGAGGGGAAGGTGAAGGTCCCATCTTCCCTGGAGAGAGCGCTGCACAGGTAGACCAGGGAGCTGTCCCCAGGATCGGCCCCCTCCACTGGGGAAGAGTTACACACCCCGACGTCCTGAACACAAAAATATAAATGTTGACTTAGTTTTGTAGTTAGAATTCATAGTAAATTCCATGATACTCCTAAAATTAAACTATACCAACTTTCTCCAAATACTGCAGCATCGATGCGACCAGTCCCTCAGAAATCTTCCTTCCTGTTTCTAAAGAATATTTAAATATTCGCGTTCACCTCTTTCTTGACTGTGGCCGAGTACAGAAGGAAGGTGACCTCCTTCATGGGCTCGCCATCACTGCGCACCTCCCCCGAGACATCGTAGCCCCCGACGACCAGGTGGCCGGAGGCCGGCGCGTTGGCGTTGGAAACCAGCACCGAGGTGGCGCTCTACGGGAAGACGGGACAGTGAGGATGGGAATAACGTCCTCGTCAGGAGCAGTGAGATCACTGCTGGATATCATTAGTTATAAACCCGCTGAGCTGATTGAATTAACAACGGCGCTGACCTCGGGCGTTCTACAGTACCGAGGACACTCCTCGGCTGGAGAGCTGCGTTACTCGGCTGTGTGTTAATGCGTCGGTAGGAAGAAAACGATAGTGATCAAACGCAGGTTTATTCTGACTGAAATGATTTGTTATAAAACCTGCTGATCCGTCCCAAAACACCACGTCTTATTTCCATTGTTTAAATCATCAGTCAGGTATGCGGAGTTAAATAACGGATATATAGTGTGATTTAGTGTGTACATATCGTGTGTTCTCAGATCGCTCTTCTAAATAAAAACTGTTAAGAGATTGCGGGGAACATTTTGTGGGAATCTCAAATTATAAAGAAAATGTGACCATGACAACGTCTCGCAAAGTAATCTGATCAAATAGACGTCAGCGGGACGAAGTGTTCGAGCAAGAGCAAAGATCCTTGCGAGGACTCACAATGACCACTAGGAAGTTTAGGGAGGTCGATGGAAAAAACAAAATGATGATTAATGATCCGTCCTTAATGATCCTTAATCGTCATTTGCAAATCAGAGAAAATGCGTATGTGAGTCCCTAAAGCTTCTTCCAGTTCTCATCCTGATCTTCAGGACAGTTTACCAGCGTATCGCTCCACCACAGAGTTTGACCCCGTAGCTTTAAATAAAAGGACAAACCGAACTTAAAAGAACAGAACCCTAACTGAAACGTCTCTTTAAAAAGGCACGGGCGACAAGACATACGAAAGGTTCATGTGTCTACGTAGTCCGTACTGTTGTTGATGCTTAAATAAAAAGGAAGTGAAGGTACCGACCTGCTCCAGAGTCCAGGAGGGATGTGCAGCTGTGATGTCATAATGTCCAGGGAGTACCTTTGAAAAGGTATACCTGTTTTAGGAAGACGAAAAAAAGGACAGTTTAAGATGCATTCGTTTACTACAGAATAACACGTTTGCGGGAGGCGGGAGGAGCCACTTACTTTCCTCCAGGCTGCGTGACGACAGTCTGAAGTCTCTCCTCCGTCCCCACTCGGGTGAGTTTGACTTCTACACCAGCGGGACCCAGGAGATGGCCTTTACTCAGAACCTGGACAGAGAGAGAGAGATTTATGACTTTAATTCATTCATTGAGCCGCCTGTGTCTGCAAATAAGCTCTCAGGGTATTCAATACAAAAAAAACATTTCCCCGAATGAGGTGTGAGATCCTTCAGAATTCTCACCGCTCCGGAGACTGAAAAGCCATTAAAAACAAAGTTGATGTCTTCTTCTTTCGTACAGATGTCAGTCACTCCATCCACGTGGAGCTCAACACTCGTGGGCTCTGCGAGGGATGAAAATCGATCACACACACGGGCATTTCAGCAGTCTTAAAAAACATTTGGTAAATTGTGGGGACATTGCTGTTAAATAATCTTACCAAAGCTCCACCCGAGAGGGGGCTCAATCTTCAGAACAAAGTCTCCCTGTGTGAAACAGACAGATTTATAGGTTAAAACCACCACCAGTGAAATGCTTTATTTTATTTTTTAAATATTGAGTTAAATTAAAAGGTTACCTTGTCATAGAGAGGGATCATGAAGTAGCCATTGATCGGAGCACAATCCGTCTGATACTTCAGGGAGCCTTGTTTGGTGTACAGTTTGATCTGATCATGGAAGAAGACAGGAACGGTTCATTGCGTTATTCTAAACTACTACACATTGACTGAACGGGCGATTGCTTGAGAATGGAGCGTCAGCTGTCATTCACAAAGGAAGGGGTCTGTCTGGGGTTTAGTTAATGTCGCTGATCAAGCTAATGGCTAATCCGATGCAGCCCGTGAATGAGCAGGGATTAGGACAGAAGACGAGCACTTGTTCCTCTGCAAACACACGCGTTTGACACGGATAACTACTGTGAAGTAATGCACGTCCCGGGTTCTGGGTCGACTGTGACCGCTAGAGATGGTTACATCCGCAGTAAATAGCGAACTAAGGTTAGCAAATGGCTACATTGACGTGAAGTTAACGTCACATACGTTCTCCCGGTATGTATTTTCTAGATAGAGAAAGGAAAGTTACAGACAAAGTAGACTCTCGCTGTGGTGAATTCATTCAAACTGTCATTCAAACAAATCTCCAGTCTCCGTTCAACCTTCATCTCACTACGTCGCAGCAGCTAACCGCTGCTAGCGAGCTAGCTGCTAGCGAGCTAGTTGCACTCTCACCTCGATCAGGGAGTAGTTGATCTCAACGTCGGACTTCACGAAGCCGCCGCACGCCACCACGATGTCATCCGAGGACACGGTCAAGAACTGGGAATAGGTGATACAGAATAACACCCAAAGGGCTCCGACGTCCGCCCGGATCGTAATTCGCAACATATTTATTTTTGCTTCTTTCAGCTGACTGATCTCTCGACGAGCCGAGCAACAGCACGCTGCCTCCGGTTCCGTAGCAGCTGAGATGCTGTCAGTGACGGAGCGAAGCGTCCGGAGTAGCGACCCCTAGTGGGCCGGAGGCAGAGCAGCAAGCAGCCCGTGCGACACATATATATATATATCTCATATATATATATATATATATATATTTCTCATATATATATATATATATTTCTCATATATATATATATATATTTCTGATATATATATATATATATACATATATATATATGAGATATATATCTATATATATATATATAGATATATATCTATATATATATATATATCTATATATATCTATATATATATCTATATATATATATATCTATATATATCTATATATATATCTATAGATATATATCTCATATATATATATCTATAGATATATATCTCATATATATATATATATGAGATATATATCTATATATATATATATGAGATATATATCTCATATATATATATAGATATATATCTCATATATATATATAGATATATATCTCATATATATATATATATATATATATATATATATATATATCTATATATAGATATATATCTATGCGATATATATATATATATATAATATGACCGGTGTGTGAGCTCAGAAAGACGCAAGACAAGTTTGGTACATTTCAGTATTTATTGTCCAACGTTACATAATACAACACCCCCACACGCGTAGGATGGAGTAAGCAAAATGTTCAGTTGTAAGTAACCTTTGTTAAATTTGAGTGAGTAAAAATACTGGATTGTACAGTATTTTTCAGTTGTAATAAAAAAATATATAAATATGTGTTTTATTTTACCCTTAAGATTGATGGGTTTTTCTTAATGAAGATGTAGATTTTATATATACTATTTGGGTGTATAAAATCTTTAAATAACTAAATCAAAGTGTTGGTGAAATGTTTAGAGGTGGAAATGTATTAGTTCTTTGCATTATTATTTTTTCCCCTCAGTAGTTTTGATCATGATAAATGGTAAAAACACACATTAAAAGCCAGAAAACACAAAAGTTATAAAAATAGGAAACACTAGTGTTAATATGTTTAAAGTGCAGACAATATAGAAAAGTTTTTCAAACTACAGTTGTTATAGCAAGTCCTTCTCAGAAGGAAAAAGATGCACAAGAAAAAACCCACCACAAAACACCTGACAAGCAATGATAGTTTTGGTTTAAAAAAATACTTAAACATTGCGGCCTAAAAGCTTTATGATGATACTAATAAAACATACATGTAAGAAGGTCCATAGCAGCTCATATCCTTTGTCCCACATGCAGTTTGTCTATTCAGTACCTGGCTTTTGTTCTGTATTATTAGGCCCTTGCCTCACACATGCGTGGAGGAGTTAGGAGGCGGCTGTGCCAGAAACACAGCTTCATTAAAGTTGTTGGAGAAGCTGGTGTGATAGCTGGGGCTGCTTCTGCTGCTGCTTCTGCGGGGCTGGGATTTGGACACCGGTGAGTTGACACCTGAGACCATCTGAGCCTGGCACAGTTTTTGGATTAAGAAACGCTTGTCACGGCCGTCCTAGAAAGAAAAAAAAATGACGTAGTAGATCCCGATTTCTTGTAAAAACTCCAATGATTCAGCATGGTCAATGTCTAATTATGAGAAGAGTAAATATAGAAAACTGGACCAAATAGATTAAACTAGACTTTGTTTTGGAAACACCTACCATTGCTAGTTGCTCCCTTAGTTGGTTAATCACTCTCTTGTGAGCTCCAGCCAGTGCGATCACATAAAACATGGCCAAACTGCATGGGGGGGGGGGGGGAGAAGTGTTGGACAGTATAACCAAAGAGAGAAAACACCAGTTGTCATCAACAGATGGAATACCCGACAGAACCACGTACCACGTGACAACGAAGAAGGAGACGGCGAAGGCCTCGGATGAGAGAGCAAAGAGGAGTGTTTTGATTCCATGAGGCAGCTGAGACACGGTTGCTGGCAGCACCTCCCAGGAGGTGTTGTAATTAACAAACGGTCCACAGGCCTGGGAAGCGTTTATTCTGTGCAACGAGAGGTGGGTGAATGAGCCGCATGTAAACAGAGGCTATGAGCGATGCTTCGTGCATTTAGTCATTTAGTCATTTACTCACTGTGCCAAACTGAAAGAGACGGGCAGGCAGGCCAGAGCGAGGCCTATCAGCAGCACGCCCAGGAAGAAGAAGTTGGAGCTGGAAGCGCGGAACGGACGCGTGGCTGGGCGGCAGTTGGCCATCAACGAGACCTGAAAGAGCGGATGGAACGTCACACATCTCATTTTGATCCAAGTTAAAACAAAAAGGAAAGCAAGTGTGATGCGGACCAACCTTTTTGATATAGAAGATGAAGATGTATTTAATAGTGCAGATGGCCGGTAGCAGCGGGCTGTAGAACGTGCCGATCCAGCAGATGGTCTGACCGTAGACGATCTCTAGCACATTCTGAGGAATAGCGAACTCCTGCTGGCCCCACCACTTAGCCAGGCCACAGTCACAGTAATTCACTATCAGCCTGGGTAGTAAGAGGGGCGACACGAGGACACCGTTACAGATGAGTGAGAACTAAACGGGAGGAAGACTTCCACCTAAAAGTATTAGCGCAGGAAACGCTAGAACATTTAAGCACATTCAGATTCAGTGGAGATGTTGCTTTTAAAGACAATAACTTACTTCCTGGGAAACTCCACAAAGATGGTGACTGCGACAATGATGATGAAGTCAAAGATGGTGAGTTTGTACATCTCCTGGCCCACACGGGTCTCCCAACACTGCGCACAACAAGAAAACAGGCATGATGACGCAGAGATGAAAGTGGGTCTGATGCTGGCACCTACGTGTTATTCCAAGGTGTCAATGTATATTACGAGTGTCAAATGGAGCACTTATGCCCCGGATTTGAGGTAATACAGCTGCACACTTAAATCTTTTACCATTGAATAGCTCAAGCAATACATTAAGACCACGAAACGCCTGCATCCAACGGTTCTGTATTGTTTTTCACTCTTTCATGTTTTTTTTAAACAAAATGCTTTAAACAAACGCTTTACAGTTTTTGGGGCGTTGTCGCTCCCTAATTGAAGATCGCCTCTCTTTTTAAAACAAAAAAAGTTTTGATCGCGTTTTATCGCAGCTTTGGCCTGAGTTCCTTTCAGTTACCCATATTAAATATATCACGTTGAGTGTGTACTTTCGTCGTCTGTACACTTCTTGTGAACTTCTTGCGTTGCAGAGCCTGAACTGATGTAAAACAAAGGATGTGATCCTATATCTCAATAACCGGTATCAATCATTAAAATAAAGCCTTTATCTGCCCCAATATGGGACAACCCCATTGCATATTGCACAGTTAGGCAAGAAAATGACTTACAGAGTAAAGCTTGTGGTTATAGCCACACATGCAATGCTCCTTGTCACATTTAGTGATCTGAGACCACAGAGAGAAGAGCAAAACCCCGATACTGGTTAACCGCATGAAGACACACCTGCAAAGAAAGGGAAAAAAAGTCATTAGTACAGAAGTGGCCGGATGGCCAAATTGTCTTTTTGCCCCCTGAGGTTTACACCAATTTATCATTTCTGACAGAACCGACTTTAAGTACCCAGTTCCACTTTTTGCATCATCTTTTAATGGCAAATATGTCACTTGTTTCCTAATGCAATTCTTTTTCAAGTACACCTCAGCAGTAAAGAAGGGTGAATAAATGTAAACGGTCCATGAATGGGGGTCCGCCGTACCTCATCAGCGTGAAGCGGATCTCGAACGCAGGCGAGTAGTCCTCATAGTTGATGATAACAGAGAAGAGGAGGGGGGTGATGAAGTTGGCCATGGTGATAACAATGGATGGTAGATACTCATAGACAAGATCCACAATGAAATTCTCCTGCAATCAAGCAAACAGAGTGGTTCCGTTGAAGGTCTCTGCCTTCATCCAGGACATTTCATCCCCAAAATGGAAGGAGGACATTAAAGAATCAGGAGGTAATTTCATAGAAAGAAGATAAAGGATAAAACACATAAATAAATATTGATATTCCAGACACAGAATCTGGTTTTAAGTGGCTGACTTGGAGCAGTGACAAGCCGTTAACCGGAAAGAAGGCGATCTAGAGAAAGGCCAAGTGGAGATCAAAGTTACCTTATTATTTTTGATCTGTTCTTTCTGGGAGAAGACGGTGGCTACGTAAATGCTGTAGAAGCAGCTTGCCAGCACAGCGATGACAAAAAGGTTGAGAACGAGGCGGATGAGGTAAATCCGACATTTCTCTTTACGCGTGCGATCCGCTATTTTCTGTTTGATCCTCTCCTCCTCCAAATCCGTCTGGGGATATAAGAGACAAACATTCAGTGGGTATAAAGAGAATAATAATTTGCATTCTGAGAGAAAGAAAACAAGAATTGGTCGACATTCCTGAGAGGAGCTTTTTGAAAGGCTCTTAAAAATAAAACATCCCAAAGAGAGGAAATGTTAAGCTTCTTCTATACTACATACGGCTGTAAGTATTTTTTTTCCCTGTTACGCTGCTGTTTATGTTTACATGGGACTCTGAGCGTGCTTCTGTTAAACTCCCCACAAATGTCCTACGAAACAATTGGTTGAGTGCAAACGAACGACTGACCTTGAGCTCGTAGAGCAAACTGCTTCTCTTCAGCCTCACTGCGTTCTCGTTTGTTATGCAGAAGTCCCAGCCAGCAAAAATCTTGTTGCAGAAGCTCTGAAAGCGATCCTCATCCTGAACCAGGTTCTGTTTGAATCCTGTGGCAGACCTTGAAGAAGAAAGATTCAAAAAGTGTTACATGCTTCCAGAAACTTCGTTATTTCCTAATGATTTTTCTTTACCTTTTAACTATCCATATGAGACTGAGGAACAGGTAAGCTACAGTGACCAGCAGGTAGGCCAGCGGCAAATTGTAAGTGCCGTTCGGAAAGTATATTTTGTCCACTTGGTAGTAGCCGTAAAAAAGATAGGTCTGTTCCAGAAAGCCCTGCGGAGAAAAGCACAAAAATGGTGAGTGAAGAAACCAACTTCAAACTCGTTTTGTTCATCCAGAATCCATTAGAGTCCAAGAGGGAGGACTTACTCCACCCGACAGCAGATCTGTAATGTGCTCGTGGAAGATGACCAGACCTCTACGGGCGCTGCTTGGATAAACCCTGCACGGTCCTCCTGCGGTCACACACCGGAAGAAACGAGCTGTGAGACGCAAGTTCATGCTCAAGGTCGAAACAAGCAAGCGTCCTCTCTCTCTCTCACCGGCGTTCTGGTTGTAGGTGATGTTTCCCGAAGCGCTGGGGGCTACGATGATGGGTAACATGACGAAGCTGAACATAAGCACGAAGATGAACAAGTTGAGCGCGACCAGGAAGCGCAGGAAGGAGAAGTAGGACAGGATGCCTGTGCCGAACGTCCCTGTTGGGTGTAAAGGAGACGAGACGGAGAAACACACTTTTTGTTAGAGCAAAAAAAACTCATTTGGGCCATCCGGAAATCCACAAATGCTTCTGAGGCTCGGGGACCGTCCATTTCGTTTCCCATCTCTCACCCTCTATCAGGTGGATGTCCCCCCTCCAGAGCTTCAGAGAGCTCAGCCGTTCATGAGCATCGTCCCTCAGCCTCCTCAGAAACCTGCGGGCGCTCAGCCTCAACCGTCCCAAACGGCCGAGCTCTTGATTCTCCTCCTGGCGCTGCGTTCTGGGAGTCAAACACAGGCCACATTACGATGTACATACCCGCCCAACAGAACAACAAGCTCTGTTCAATTCCTCTTTTTAGGAACAATGCCAGAGTAACAGGTGTCCTACTTGTCTGTGCGTTTCTCCGCCATGGTCTTGGGCAGTTCCCTGACGGGCCTTTGGGGAACCGGACTCCTCGGTTTCTCCTCGTTTCGGCCGAATGTGCTCACGCCCCACTTCCCGCTGCCAGAGGAGCCCAGTCGGGCTCTGGAGCTGCTCCTTCGCTTGGAGGCGACAGTGGACGACTTCCGGCGGTACAGCAGGGACTGGTAGCTGGGAAGCTGGTCCAACAGTGGGTTAGCGTTGACTCTTCCACTGTGGTCAGTGTAGAACACTGGAACATATGAACGGACACGGTTTCACTAGAGGTCGCGGCGTTTGATCAAGGCTACCGTCTAATAACAACTCTCCCAGATGTTATTATACGGTTCAACCTGACACGAGGGCATGCAATATTTCACTGGACCGATGCAAATTGTAGCGACACACTGCAATGATGTTCAGAGACGGACAATCACACAACAAACACAGCTGCCAACATTGGCGTGCAATTAAAATCCACTGAGGTCAAAAATCTGGATACAAAGTCATCTTTCATGTCTTATCATGAGGACTTCCCATGGAAGCCTTCGAAGGGGGCTTAATATCCCCAATAAAAACTGTTATGACTGTGATAATAGGTGAAATGTCCTTCATGATTCTGTATTAGATCATAAGTGGGACATCAGTGTGTCCGAGGGAGAGGACATCAGTGTGTCCGAGGGAGAGGACATCAGTGTAACGCAACGAGCCTCTCAGTTTCACTGCAAGAAGAAGACATTTCACAAAGTTTAAAATAACGAGAGCGAGTGTTGTTTTGTGGCGTCTGGTTTTTACCTGTCGCCCAGAGAGCATTTTAAAGACAAAGTGTGTCGCTTGTAGCGAACAACCGAGCGACAAACACGGACTATTCGGTGTGTTTGTGTCTGCGTCGCCGGGGACACAAAGTTGACGTTGAGCAACACGTAGAGTAAAAGTAAAAAACGCAAACGGCGGGTTTTTAAACTTCAGGGGGGGCTGAACCGAAACGAAAGTAAAACAACCCCCATATCCCCCCCAAGTTGTGACTTGTGCTCTTGCTAAAGGCTCTTTATCGCACTAAAGCGACGTTAGCATCGTTAGCTGCGGAGCTAACGGGTACGTTACTTAGTTAACAAGGATCGTTGCAAGTTTACCTGAGTCGACCTCCATCGCTTCCTTTTGTGAATACAACGAACAAACAAAAACAATCCAACGTTATTTAGCGATTTCCAGTCGAACTTTACTCGACCAGCGGCGATGGTTGTGACGTAGCTGGTTGTGACGTAGCGGGTTGTGACGTAGATGGTTCCCTCTGCGGAGCCACAGACCACTTCCTGAATGCGGATCATGTGGAGGAGGAAAAGTCTGCGTGCTTGTTTGTTTCACTGTTTTGAATACTATATATATATATTTGAATATATATATTCAAAACAGTGAAACAAACTGTCACACAGACAGAAACATACATATATATATATTTTTTTTAAATTGTTTTATTATGTTAGAGAGATTGAAAGTAAAGTCTGAATTTATCAAACGGTGCCTCGCGTTTTTGTTTTTTTGTTTTTTGTTTGTTTTGTTAAAACCAAGTTCAACCAGACATAATAAATATATGATGAGCTCATAAAGAGTTGATATTGTTTGGTAATGTGGTGCTCAAGGCAACTTTTAATAACAACTCTTCAAGTTATAACTAATTGTTCAAATTGACATTTCTTTCCACTGGACTGAAGTAAATTATATAATATATATATCCCTCCATCTACCTACATAAAACATAAATAATTGAGCACAACCACAGGCAAAGCAATAGCAGATAAAACAACCCATCTTAAGTCCTGGATGCCTATTAAAGTTTAACCTCAGGGGTTTGATTATTTTGTCACAACACCAGATGTCCACATGGGATTTACATGTCCTATCCACAGGCAGTGGACTTTTACCTTTAAAAGCTCTGCCCACACTTCCTGGTAGCCAGACAGTCCGTTGTATTTTCTCACGGATGGTGTTTCTCGGGCTGACTCTCAGTTAACCCTCTGGCTTGGACTACATAAAAGACGTGAAGTACTTTCTTCTGTTATTCCCCCACCATCACACCACTACCAGGTAAGGGTTTGAGAATGTAGTTTATCAATAACATTCATCGTCTGCACAGAATAGTAAATATATCAGCTCATACACAATGATATGTTCACTTTTTCGATGGAATATCCATTGATGTGATGTGTCAAACTGCAATTATCTGTCCATTGTTATTCAGATTTTCCTATTCCATCATCCTCCAGTGACTCTGCGTGAGAACCGTAGACTACTGAATGTGGTGGAAACCCAACCTGGTGTGTGAATTAATGATGAACAGAGGAGAATGGCTGCAAAAGATTAAATAACAATGCTTTTCCACTTGACAATGTGGCTGTCACTATGAGCAGAGGCTCTCTGCCTCAACATGTGACACTACTTGTTTGGGCTATATTAAAGCTGACTTAGCTGGAAACTAAAGCCTCAATAGCTCATGCAATAAAGGCATGCACTTTTATCTTTCTCAAATAACATCTTAAAACATAACTTTAAAAAAAGTATTTTTTGTGTTTTACTGAAGCTGGACCAAATAAACAGAGCGACTGCGACAGGCTGAGCTGAAGAAGTGAGAAAGGATCCTTTTGACAGATCTCATGGCGAGTTACAGGAACGGAGGATTATTCAACCCTGCCTACCATGACAGCGAAACTCTGGAAATTGATAGAAGGTTTGTGATAATAAAACATTAATTTGTCCTTGAATGTTCGTCACTGAATCACATTTCGTGAAAAAGGTTAATTTATCAAAGTGCGTTTGAGTGAGTGCCGCGCGTACTTGTTATCAAAGACCTCGTATGTGCTCTGTCGGAATGAACAGGATGTCCTCAAAGAACAGCCGGCTGGGTGCTTCTTATCCTCCCCGGCTCTAGAAAGGATTCCTTTTATTTTTTTTACCATTCGGGTGAAAAATATTAAGGTCTTATGAAAAGTGTCCAAAGAGCCACCGCAGTAAACTTTAGAGACACTATATTAGCTCATTCTTTTTCTAGTGTGGAAACGTAATCCTGCACGTCATGTAGGATATTTTATCCTTCAAATTACCCACAAGACAAAAGAAATCCCCTCCAACTTGACCCATGACACATTCTATGACACATTCAATCACGGATAACGATCTTTAAATTCCAGCTCCTTCCTTGAACCGATAACCCCCGCGCCCTGAAGTGTGATAAACACGAGCTGTGTGGCCACAACCATTCACCTCTCGCTCTTTGGTTTTTCCGTGTGGCTTTTTATGTCTCGTAGTAAAAGCCTGCACGCCAACCCCTACGCCCGGGCAGAGAGGCCAGACGAACCCTACTCGACTGGTCACTCCAGCGGCGGTGATGGTTTGGCGGGGAGAGGGCCATTGGGGGGCTGGCATGGGGAGAGCCGCAGGGGGGGAGAAAGCTTCCCCATGGACATCGCCTCAACTCCCTCATGGCAGCGTGACATCCGTGAGTCAGCAAGCGTGGAACCATGGAGCGATATTAGATCCGCAAGCACGTTCTGATATCGGAGCAGTGTGTCCCAGAAAAACAGCTCCGGGACGTTTGTCTCTATGAGTTTTTGTGCGCCTCGATGTGTTGCTAGGTGACACTTGTGTTGACACTTTGATTGTATGTCCTCCTTTTTATTAAGATCCCAGTAGGTCCCCACCTGACTCTCCGTATGATCGATCACCTCCTGTGCACCTTCCTTCTGCAATGTCAGGTAATAGTTGAACCAATCTCACTTTATAGACCATAAATTCTTTTCACAGTTGTTGTGAGTTGCTGTGGTTGTGGTAACGCTAAAAACGCACACGTGGTAAGAGACAATCCTTGACATTTCAGCCCTAGTTGGTGTAGAATTTATTTAAATTCAAAACAAAGTAATTGAGTTTAGAAGTCTGAAGTCTTTTTTAGATTCAAGTGCTTCACGTTTTTGTTTATTGTGTGCATATTTTAATCTGTGTGTATACACTGAAGAAAAATTGTGATTTTTGGCTTTATCTAAAAGTGTCATACTGCCAAACTTTCATTAGTGAGGCTCAATCCCCATTGTGTGTCGCCTCAGTCAGGGATAGATCCATTTAGTTCAAGTCATTTAAATGAAACTCAACTTTAAGTGCATTACAAAACAGTAATTTAAAGTAAATGTGGCGTTCGTTTAGATATGTTGACTTTTATTTGTACATACCTTAGCAAAGTCGCTCTAGATAATTATTAATGGAGACTAATAAAAAACAAGGAAGTTGGCAAAGATTTAAGGGGGAGAAGGGGTTGTGAGGAAAATATTGCCCTAATCTGAAGCACATTAGATAACTAGATAAATATAACTCACATTACATTCCTGTCTGCTAGAATCGTTTAATATGTTTAATTCTTATTAGCAAATGGCGGTATTTTAACAGTTAAAAGTGGTGAACCACATTATACCTGGCAAACATTAAACATATTAGCATTTTGAGCAGTTTAACATGCTGACGTTTAGCTCCTCAATTGTACTTTCAATCCATGTAGAAATTTTACATGCATTTAATCTAGAAAAATATAAAACATGAAAGTTAATCAATGCCAAGCTGTCGCGTGTTTACATGTGCGAGTAACTGCGAGTGTTTCTATTCTGTTTCCCATTTTCCCTTGCGAGTTGACCATTACAACTAATGGTCAACTCGCAAGGGAAACTATTGCCGATCACCGGCCATCGGTACAGCGCATTCTCCTTATGACACGTTCGTCCGTCCAGGTAACATGACGATGAGATGGAGGGGAATGACAATGAGAAGGATGAGCATGTTTCCTAACGGGGATCCTGCCAATGAAGCCTTCGCAGAGGATGCCATCAGGAACGAGTTGCAGAACGGTGAGAGCGCGCGGCCACTACATGGCGCATCACTGTGTAAAGATCACAGGAAAGTCTTATCTTGTCTTTTTGTGTGTGACAGAGGAACAGAACCTAATAAAGGAGCTCATTGCTTTGTCAACGCGAGACCAAATTCGGGCCATTCGGGATCTTCCGATGAGCTTTGACGAGAAGAAACATATCAGGTGGGTGCTGATCCACAAGCGGGTCAAGTTAGTAGGCTTCCTTGTCATCCGGTTAACCATTACACCGCGCAGAGAACCATAAAATAAGGGCTCTGCCTGCAGAGACACGGTGGTACTGTGTTGCAATAGAGATCACCGGATGAAAATATCAATACTATACTCACCGCTCTCTTTTGTACATTTTGTAAATTTCACAAGAAACAACAAAAATGACAGAAAGTCTGCAGCTTTTTCTGAGGTGATCGTGTCACACTTAATCAATTTCATCAGAAGATATACGCTTTAATGGTACTTATGTAATTATCTCACTGACATTGTTATGACTTCATTCCCCAGGAGTCAAGTGCTGGCTGTCAAGTCTAAGCGATCACGCCACTTCACATGTTTTGCAGAGTGCTCTGAGAATGTGTCACTGGTAAGTAAACAACATCCGGCAGCACCAAGCTTAACCGGGCAGGTCTGGTGCACAAGCTGATCACTGGATGCAGGACAAGTCACAAGTTGCTCTCTCAGTCTTTCCGCAGGTTTGGCTACAGTGTGAGTTCAGCCAGGCAGACCCTGCAGCTTTGGCAAGGCATCATGAAAGAGATCGGCAGCAAGTTTGGCACCAGCGTCGTCATCTATTTCGTGTTCCTCAAGTGGCTGCTCATGTTCAACATTTTCTCATTCCTGGTCAACTTTGGCTTCATCACACTCCCGCTGCTCGTTCACGACACTTCTCCCAAAATACCTCCCAATGTGAGCTTCAGCGGACTGGAGATACTAACTGGAGCTGTAAGTGGAGACCTGCTAATACAAAACTACCTCAACTATCTGAACTTTTTTTTTCTTTATTCAAATCTTTGTGCAATTTAAAGCTGCTCTAATTAATGTATTTTTATATCAACTGCGAATTAAATGAGTTTGATTTACATTTAAAGGTTTTTGTTTTTCTGCAACTTTCTAATCTTTTGCTCCACTCGCACTACAGGCACCTTCATGTGTTTGTGTGTCAATATTCTGCACTGCTACAAAATGGACAAGAAATAAATCAATAATGAAAAATCAAACAATATGTGATATAGATGTTTTTTTCCAACGCATAGTAAATGTGCTTTGGTTTCTCCAGGGTTACTTCCACTACACTGTCATGTACTACGGTGGCTACAGCAATGCAACCCTGCATGGCCTTGTGGAGTACGACATGCAGTTGGCCTATTTCTTCACCATTTCAGCCTACATGGTTCTGTGTGGAATTGCACTTATCTTCAAGTTAGTCCACGAGAATGTAGACGACGGTATTTTAGGTTTATTGCACATTCCCTTTGCCACACAGGTTGGAAGCCCTTTGAATGCGAAGAAATGTACGTTACCGATTTCCCTCTTGCAGCATGGGCAGCTTATTCATGAAAAACTACGTCCTGGCAGACCCAACATCAAACGGTGCCTGGCAGCTTCTATGCAGCTGGGACTTTAGTATTACCAACGAGAGAGCAGTGAGGCAGCGCAAGAACAATCTACGCGTCCAACTCAAGGTGACTGTTACTCTGACACCAGGACTGGAAAGACAGTTGCGTTATTGTACAATATTTTCACCTCCATATGAAGGAATCCATCTGAAACAAGCACCTCTGAATGAACGTATATGATTGTGCACTACGTTTCCACTGTTTCGTATTAGCCATCGTATAGGAGACATTATGGAAGTCATCTGTTGCCACAAATGATAATCACACAATTAGCCTTCAACATATTTCAGACACTTTGCTCTGTCAGATGTTGAAAAACAAATCATGAAGCCTCATTATTGCTCATATCCCCGATTATCCTCTCACCGTCTCTTCAGGAGTCTTTATCGGAGAAGGCCCAGAGGGAGCGGCTGACCCTCTCGCAGCAGCTCAGGCACTTTGGGGTTCATTTGGGTTCCTGGCTCCTCTCCACCGGCTTGGCTGTTGGGTGTGGGGCTAGCATCTTTTATCTCTGCAAATACGAACAGCAGGTACACGAGTCAAGATTGAAGAATTAGAATAATTGTTTTCATTTGATAAAAGGTATCTTCCCTAACTGGAAAATGACTGTCCAACTAAAACCAGTATTAACAGAAATCTATAGAACTGCACAGTTGCAGACCCCTTTGTTGGCCTCCGACTACCACTCATACGTAACACTCAATGGCCTTTCAAGAGTATTTGGCCCTAAGACAAGACCTGTATCAGCACGTGTCATGAGCTTGTAACTTACAGCAATGAGTCAAGTATTTTTCCGGCAGTTAAGGGTTTGACTGTTTGCTGTGTAGCGCTATCTAAAGGTGACGTCTATCTTGTATCTTTATGGCAGGCAACAGCTGCCGCCGACTGGTCTCTGCTTCAGGATGCAGAGACTCTCCTGGTTCCCTTTGTGGTGTCTCTGATGAACCTGGTGGTCCCGCTCTTCTACTCGCTCTTCAACAAGTTCGAACACTACTCCAGCCAGCGCAGACAGATCTACGCTCTGGTAGTCAGGTTAGAAAGCAGAGACACATTCCACTATTGGATTTAAAGGACATGTGATGAAAGAATGTGACGTTTAGACATGCACCTATTTGCTTTATTACCAAGAACTAGATGGGAGGATTCTGTCAATTCAGAATGAAAAACAGCTCACAGCAGCTCCTCTGAAGCTCAATAGTTAATTTGTATAATTTACGTCTAACCACAATTAATTATCTTAATTTACTTTTTTTTTTTTAACCTCCCTAAAGAGCCAGGCTAGGGGTTTCCCTCTGTTTCTAGTCTTTATGCTAAGCTAAGCTAACCGGCTGAGGGTTCCTGCTTTGTATTTATGTACCTTCTCACTTAATTCTGAGCATGAAAGCAAAATGCATAGTTTCATTAAAGTAAATCCATACCTTTTAAGCAACAATAATCCCTTTTTTCTCTTTTCCCAAAGAAACGTGCTACTCAAGATGTTCATTCTGGCCGTCCTGTGTTATCACTGGATGAACGTGGTGGCAAAGTTTTCAGTAGGTTTGAAAGGGGTCAACTCTTTCTTGCCATCTTTCCACACACCGTTATTAGTTTTGTCAGAACATAGTGAGTCATTTATGAACCTGTTATGTGCTCCACAGTGTTGGGAGTCCATTGTGGGACAGGCTTTGTACCGTCTGGTCATTGTTGATTTCCTTTTTCTGATGTTGGGATCCTTCTTTGGAGAGTTTCTTAGCAAGTGAGTTACACATTTTCAGTTTATTCTATTAAACGTTTATAGTATTTTGACCTATACCAAAATCATTATTTATTTGTAACAGCTTGATTGGGACGAGATTACTTCCTCGTCTGGGAGTTCCAGAGTTCGACGTGGCCAGAAATGTCCTCGAACTCATCTACGCACAGACTCTGGCATGGTAACGTCAATTAATTCAACAGTTACTATAAAATATACGGACAGCTCAGTGCAAATTAGGATCAGGATTTGTGTTTTCTCTTTCGATCTCAGTTCTAATTTACTTTTAAATGTAACTTTACGCTAATGTCTCCCCTTAGGATTGGAATCTACTTCTCTCCTTTGCTGCCCGCCATCCAAATCCTCAAGTTTTTCATTTTGTTTTACTTAAAGAAGGTAAATGCAGGTCCATACGTTTAGAGGTCTTGTTGGTTTAAAACTGAGCTTCCACGATGACACACGCCTGAGCTGCTCCGTAGAATGTTGGGCTCATGTTACACTCTTTGTTCCCCTGGTTCAATAATTAAATTAAATCCTTTCATCAAACAGACGGAGTAAACCTTTTGTTTGCGCTATGCCCTGAACAGGCAATTATTCCCAGAGTAAATTAATAGGTAGAGCTGCTGTTGTTGAATGTCTCATTAACGTGCTGAGTGACCTTTGAAGCTTTTCAACCCTCTGATGAGATTGTCATGTTCTTTATTAAGGAGTGAAACGGATTTGATGTTTAAAGCTTTAATAATTTGTGTGTGTGTGTGTGTGTGTGTGTGTGTGGTTACGGCTCCTCAGGTCAGCTTGATCCAGAACTGCCAGCCCCCCCGACGGTCGGGGAGAGCAGCTCAGATGCAAACCATCTTCATCGCCCTCCTCTTCTTCCCTTTCTTCGTGGGAGCCCTGTCCATGGTTGCATACACTGCCTGGAGGTACAAGGACGTGACCTATTTGGGATTTTATGAACTATATATTTCATTTAAAAAAAGACTGCGCTGCATTATTTACCTGTATACAAATCCCACCAAACCAAAACCCTCTTGTCTTGTTTTGCCTTCTCCTTGTAGTCTGAGTCCCTCGGAGCACTGTGGCCCATTTCAGGGACTCAGCAGCACCTTCAGTGTGGTAGGAGTGTGGATGGAGGATTTGGAGAAGATCCCCGGTTCTCAATGGGCCGTCTGGATCTACCTAAATGTCATCAGAAGTGAAATCTTCTACTATTTTATCTCACTCATCATTGTGTAAGTGTGTGACACAGATGTATGTTGGTGCAGATGAAATGTGGTTGTGATCTATATATTCAAAATAAACATGAGTATATATGTATGTATATGTTGCTCGACACACTTTGGAGTCATACATTAACTATCAAACAACGTTGTTTTGATTGGGAGAAAATAATTGAATTTATTTGAATTAAATCACAACATATGTGTATCTATGTACAATTAACCATATTTGTGTCGTTCCTGTGATCATCTTTTCCTATTCAGTGTAATTATCTACATCTTCTGGCAAGTCACTCAGGGCCGCAAGCAGCTTATTCGTCTACTGAAACAACGTATTGTTAATGTGAGTGTATTTTTAAAACTATCATTTCAATGTTGTTTGGTATATTTCTGCTTAACCTCATTTTAAATCATTCTCTCTCAACACACAGGATGGGAAAGACAAGTCCTTCTTGTTAGATAAGCTTCAGAACCTCCAAAAATCCCACCCCGATAGAAAATCCCAACAGAAGAATCAGAAAAGGGTTAGATTTGAAGATGATTTAAGGATGATTCAATTGAAACCTGAGATTTGATATCCACCTCACTGCATACATGTTCTCCTTCCTGTCCTCAGCACTCCAAACAGCGTCCAGATGACCTCTCCCCGACTGCTCGTTCCAACTCAAACGCCATGGTTCAGGCGCTACTTGCTCGCCAGCGGCTCGAACAGGAGGAGCAGACCAGCAGCACCGTCCCCTCCGACATCTCCTCCCCCGGCGCGCTGACTCAAGCCATGTTGGCCCGTCAGCGAGCTGAAGACCAGGAGGCGGGCGCACACCGGCCGCTGTCAAGAGCCTTGGCGGTGCCCGCGCAGGCCTGGCAGAGGGCCGGGGGTCAAGAGAGGGATGAATACTTCAGCCCGGGTTTTTACGAGAGCCCGGTCGGCGCGTCCAGCATGGTCACGCGGAGAGCGGAGGACCCGCCGTCCTCCGCGTCAAGCGTGATGATGCAGGTCATGCAGGCCAGACAGAGGGCGGAGGACGAGGAGAGGCCTCAGCGGGCGCCAGCTGCCCCACAGAACCCAGCGCCAGCGGGCTCGAGTGCTCTCATACAGGCCATGTTGGCCCGGCAACAGGCCCAGAACGAGTACGATGACGGTTACTGAACAAAGCCGTCTGACTTTATCTTATTGCGCGGGGAGGAGGACAACTGAAAAGAACCACAGCTGACTAAAATGACACTTTTCATTTTAGGATTTTAGAGGTCACCCGTAGATACATTTCGCTGCTGTAAATCCCCCAGAACAAAGTGCAAAGATTTCTAATGTAGCAGGGCTAGAAGCGAGTGCAGGTCCACTTCTTTATGCTCTATTTTTTTACCAATATATTATAATATATTTTATTGACCGAATACAAGCCTTTAAGATAACTTCTGTATGTATTACAACAAATATACACTTGGCCTGATCTTGTGCGTGATTTCATTTCTGTATCATCAACACCAGATGCTTTATATTCTCTGTAAAATGTAGATTAAAAGAAAGTCAAAAATGAATTTGTCAATGTCCTTTTGTGGTGCTGCTATAAAATATGGGGGGCAGTCAAGAAGGTTTTGTACTGAAGAAACTGTTACAAGGTTCGCCAGGTTAATGAACAAAAGTACTGCAAAGTCATTTATCAACTTCTAGTTGACTGTCGCAAACGGCCGAAAGGAAACCCTGCAGACCCAGTGAGACTGAACAAAGGTCTACACCAAATAGAAAGCTGCACACTCCTCATCCAGGGAATCCTACAACTAGAACCACACAAGCATTCACACAATAATTACATCACAATTTATTGAAGATTCCAAGAGTCTCTACTGACATCCCCATTCATATATGAATGTTGATTACATAGCAATGATCCCCCACAAAGAAAACACAAAACACTGTTATTTTGAGCCAAGTGAAAATAAAGAACGCAACTTTTTCACCCTGAAAGAGATCTGTGCCTAAATAATCCAGTTTCCACAAGAAGTCACCAGTCAAAGTTGAGTGGAAGGCATTTTGTACAGTCTGCTATAACAACAGTGCCCTCTGTAGGGATTATGAATACGATGCCACAGAGCAGCTTCTGGCTTTTAGGTTTTATTACACATCCGCCTTCTCAAACTGACCAATAATTGAATTGAAAACACGTTCCCTCATTACTGAATATGTATTTTACTCCGGTCAAAGCAATTACATGCGGACTTGAAAAATGTGTGACGCTATTGGATACTCTTGGTTTCCGTGAGATCAAAAGTGTTCCGGGGGGATGGAACCGATTTAAGATTGAGAATAACGTAGAAAAAGGCAACCTTCTCGCCGACGGTCTTGTTTAGTCATATATAGTGATACAGCGGTTATTGAGGTTTCATAACTGGTGAAAAGTTCCTCACAATGACTCCAATAAGGCTGTTTAGCGTCTGAGCGGCCCTCACTCTATTTCTACCGGGACACATCGCGTTTTATTTACACAAACAGGGAGATTAGCTCATGTCCACTTTTCTTAGTTGAAGCTGTTTGACCCAAAATTAAGGCAGTAAAACAAGAGGAGATGATGATGCTTCCTGAAATCCAATCCGCTGTTTATCCCCCAAACTGAACGCCGACCACACGCGGACAACGGCCTCCCATCAAGCTGCCACCCTGAGGCCGCTCAGCACTGCTCCTCCCCCAAAGATGCTGAAATGTCACTCAGATCCAGAGAGTCAGCTGGTATGGGAGCTTTCCTCCCACTCTTCGGGGTCTGGCTGGAATAAACCTCCACAGATTTGGAGATGGAGTGCAATGAACACTCCCGGAAATGTCCAAAAGCCTCCCGCGCGTGCTCCTCGCGTAGGCTTTGTTCGAAGGTCTTGCGTTTGTGCCTGAACTCGATGACGGTCTTTGTGTAGGAGTTGAGTGTGGTGACAGATGCGCCCATGCAGCAGGTGAAGGACGCCCAGGCCATGCTGAAAACACACCAAAAGAAGAGGAGAAATCCACTTTGCATGGGGCCAAACACGCTGAGCCCTCTCTAAAGGACAGAATTCAGGATGCATTTGGACATTTCCCTTCCCTGGCGATTTTTTGTTTCGCAGAGATTTGTCTGAACCTCTTCAAAATCCTTGTGCTCCCCTCTAAAGCCATACCGGCCCACGTGGGAGATCAGGCAATCATCGTCTGATGTATTTTTCATGAGTGCTGTTTAAAGCCCACAAAAGGTCGAGAATTGTTTAGCCTCCAAACAAATTTTCAGCCTCCCGTGGTGGTGCATATTGTAAGGGAGTGAAATGTCTTCTCTTTATGCAATTCCAATCACGCCTGTATTGGGGCTTGGGACACCAAAGCCTAATCCTGCCATGACATGAGAGCTTTGGGATGTTTTCATTAGAGACAGTGATGGAGGAGTGAGCGCAGAGCTAAGATTCCACTATTTGGGGCTGCTACGGGCGGCACGGAATCCCTCATCCGGTCTCCGAATGGGTGAGATGGCTTGACCTTATTTACAGAGCACTGCATTGTATGGTGTCGGTGAACGGTCATACCAGAAGGACCAGCCGTAGTCCCAGTTGTAGGGCCTCCAATCCGGCGGTCCGAGGCTCACCGTGACCTGGAAGACCTGCGTGTACATCACATGAGCCACCATGCCCAGAAGACCTGCAACGAGGCACACGATACGTAGGTGGTTAGAGGCCCGCGTGGCGCGTCGTTCAAATAGAAAAATACACACGAATAACTCTTCAGCGGTGGGACGATCGGTTTCCACCAGCCTCTCAGCTGATCACAAATGAAACGTGACTACCGGAGAGCACGGTGAAGACGGCGGCGAAGGCGTTGAGCTTGAGCCCGTCGATGATGTTGCTGGAGCGGACCAGGTCCAAACACATGAGGCTGAAGCCCACCACCAGCAGAACAATGTACAGCAACTCAGAAACCAGCGACAGCCACAGCATCCCTGCAGACGGAGGCCCCATTTTATTAGCCTAACCTAACCACACATATTCAGTGTATTTATGTTACAACAAGCCCATAGTCGCTCTAAGTCAAGTACCGGGTTTAATTAACGAGTCCTTTCCCTGATGTTACATGTGCGAGTTGTATTCAAACGATGTCAGAGCGCTCAAATCTTATTCAGCTTTCCAAAGAATCAAGCCAAGCTTAATCTCATCTCCATTCCAGCCGTCCTCTCATCTTTGATCCTATTGAACCGTTTGACAGGGAGACAGGAAATGAGTATTTCTCAAACGACGGCTCAAAAATCCTACAAGTGAACAACGGATGTGCGTGGCTGTGTTTATGGCTCCGTGGTTTCAAATTAAGGGAAAGTTAGGTGCTTATTAAATTTAGAAAGTCAGAGAAGAGAACCAAACATGTGGCTATGTAAGACTGTATGTATTTAACACGCGTGGTCAAATTCATGTAGGAAATCATTATAAAACGATATTTGACATTATATATCACACCTGGATCAATAGGTACAATTGTTTGGAAAATGAACACAAGTAGACGTGGGACATTCAGAGCATTAATATCGCAGCATATGCATGGAAGTGACATTTAGTGGAGTGGCATCTGTCTGAGCAGTGCGGCTCCTCGCTGCGTCCACATCGCATGAACTGTTAGCGCTGCCAATAGAAACACTCCCGATCTTGTATTTTGCCCCTTTAGCGTAATCATCAAAAGCGTTGTTGTTGTTTTTGGGAAAGACAGATGTTCTTCCAGTCGTTCAACTTCTTTGCACGTTGGTCAGTGAGAAAGCCCTGGCAATAACACAACAAGCCTTTTGTGACCCGAGTCCAGCAGTGTTTAACCAGATTGCACTAAATCGATGGTCACTGTTGGACCTCCTGGTGATGAGCAGCCAACACTCACCTTTCTCTGAGGGTGGGGCCAAGTCGATGAAGCTTCTGCACATCTCACCTACGGCAGAAAGACAACATCTAGTCAGGACTCGTGGGATCTTTAGCCAATGGTTTATAAGGAATTCACTCTGTGGCAGGTCAGCAGCGAGGGAGGGGGTTTGGTTTTGTTCGTGGAAGAGTCCTAATACCTAATACGCATGTATTGCACTGCAAGTTGCAGGATGAATAAACAGGATGTTGAATGAGAGGCATATGTCTGAATTGCAGAGATTTAGTGTCCAGCTGCTGAGTTGGCAACGCTGCTGAACATCTGGTTCCTTTCTATTGAATTACAGGTATTTTGAATGAGAGAAAAGAACAGATATCGTCCTGAAGAATAAAAACAATCCACTGTCAAAAATAGAGAGGGGAGGGGGAGAGAGAAAGAGGGAGGGAGACACACAGCATCAGGAAGGCTGCAAAAAAGATTGGGGTTGGGACCTAAGACCTAATAACAACCTGTTTCAATTGAGAAAAAAAAAAACAGGAGGTATAGAACTCGACACATTCCGGCAGATGCAACGCTTTACTCTCGTCATCCGAGCAAAGTGTGTCGGCTGGATTTGTAAATTGAACCCTTTAATCAGGTAGAAGCAGGATGGCAACAGCTGTTTTGAGGAAAAACTCATCAAGGCCCCGGTTGCATAATCCTTATTAACTCAAGCTGGCCTCACACACTTGATGAGATGGACATGTGCTATGAGATCCTTCTTAAGTAATCTCATCGTTTAGTTCATTTTTAGTCTTTAAGCATCATGAACATATTAATTATTAGCACAATACCTCTGTCATGAGCTAAATTTGACTGAATTTGAAATCGATGCTGGGAATCAAAGAACCAGAGCAGATTAATCTGCCTTGGTCCCCCTTTTGACCTCAAGGTCTTTTTTTATTACATTACAACAACAACAGTTTTCTGTAAAGAAATGAAGCTCCACCAGATAATTCAAACGTTTCTCTTCCGTTTGGCAATCCCATTGTGCACCTACCAAGAGCTGTGGAGTCTCCCACTTAAGGCCCCGGAGTGCTAAACTGAATCTGTGTGAGGGCCCATTCGGACTGATGCTCTCTCTGCTGTTTGCTCTGCATTGAATTCCAGATAAAAACAATCTCACGAGATAGAAGTTAACATAAAAGGAAGGCGATAATCTAAAAAATGTTCATGAAAGGGAAACATTTGAATTGAGAGCTCATTATTGCAAACGAAGGAGCCAAATGTCAAATTATTTATTATTTCTATTATTATTATTATTATTATTTATTATTATTTGTATGCTGAGACGATGACCTCATCTCTGGTTAAGTAAACCGTGATGGTGATGACAATGGTGATCTGCTATAATTCAAAGAAAAGTAGTGAAACGTGAGGGGAAAAAAGCCCAAACTGGTTCATTTAAAAACATTTTAAAATAAATTGTATCATTGAAAATCATGTGAAACATCAAAGCTTCTCTTTTAATCATTTCCTCATCGACACCACCTGCCCGCGACAACAGCGACCTGAAAGTGAAACAACTCATTAGAAATATTTGCACACACACACACACACACACACACACACACACACACACACACACACACACACACACACACACACACACACACACACACACACACACACACACACACACTTTCTCCACTTACTTTCATCGTGGATGTTTTCCGCGCACGACAACCAGATGCCCGTGTGGAACTGTCGGAACAGGAAGCGGTCGTCCCCGGTCTCCCAGCTGTAGACCACCTTGTTGGGGTCCGTCTCGTTGACCCCGTAGTCGATGCACTGGTGAGTCCGCAGCTTGCTGCACTCGGGCTTCGGGACCCTCTGCGTGCCCACGCACCAGTAGGTCGTCACGAACGCGGTTATGGAGAAGAAGAGGGCGAAGAGGTTCAAGGCGACCGACCACAGGCTCCTGCACTTGCGAGTGGTCTTCATGGTCCGCGGGGAGAAGGTCGCGGCGGCGGCGGCGCGCGGAGGAGCGGAAAGTTCATGGGTGCGAGTCAAGTGGAGAAGGTGCGTGCGCGCGGCCGCGCTTGGTGCACGAGAGCACCCGGCGAACACGTGCGTCCGAACACTGAGCTCAGCCGCGTGTCACTGTCCCGTTGTTATACTTTATTTGGTCACTTTGACGCGCGACGCCCCCCCGTCCCGTCCCGTCCCGTCCCCCGCCTATAGGAGGTCACGTTGTCAAAGGATTTAAGGCTGCCAATCGCGTCAAGTGTGAGATCTTCTGATGATGCAGACGCGCCCCCCCCCCCGTTAAGGATGCATCTCCACGCTGACAACTTATCAACCAATACGTGGCACAATAATTTAATTCAACTGAGATGAGAATTTAAGAGATGTTCGAGTTATTTCGGATATATTTAAAACTTGTTTGTATAGTTGATAAATGTTAATACATACACATGTTTTTTTCTTTTTGTGTTGTCCTTTTAAAAAAAATCTTTTTCATGTTTATTTATAAAAAATGTCCATGTGGAGAGCAAGGGAATCAAATCCCATGTGCGTAAACTGATTCTGACTCCAAAGTGAGGGAGATTTAGGGCACTTTCTCTGGAGGCAAAGAGGAAGCAATACAGCTAATAGGCTACTACATTTAAGAGGTAACTTAATGTGTAAAAATAGAGTCACCACCATAGAGGAGGGTGAGCTTCTCCTGGTGACCACACAGAAGTAGATGAGCCGACAGCGTGAACCGTGCTGCAGCGCAGAGGCAACACACTTGTTGGCATTTCAAAGGCGTCATGACTCCAGTGCTTCTGTGTAAGAATTACTCCAAAAAAAAAAAAACGGTGCAGTTTTAAGCCTCCGTGCCAACACTATTTACCTCAGCTGCACGCCTTAATGTCCAGCCCTCGGAGGCTAAGCCGCTCTCCAACATGACTCTGAAAATGCAGGAATCTGGCCGGCTACAAACCAGAACAAGGAACAAGAAAGTGGGTCACATCGCACACTGGCTTCCTCACCAACAAACAAATTGACTTTTCAAATCCTGCCGCTGGTTTTTATAAAGCCCCGAATGGTTCAGGGCCAGAATGCATTTCTTATCTGCTGCTACCTTGCGAAACCATCACCGCTTGAGTCAGAACCAAACATGAAGTTTCCCTGCTTCTCCAATCTGGAACAAACTCCCAGAATGCTGCAGGTCTGCTGAGAATCGAAGCCTTTTCGGTTTGCGGCCGCCTTTAATCCAACCAGATTGAAGGATGTTGATCAATTTCCTGCCGTTCTGCATTTTACCACAAACGGCAGTGCAAACTATTATTCTTTAAGTTGATAAATGTTCCAATGACTGTTTTAATTGAGGTTCTTCATTGGTTTTAAATGTCCCCTTTATTTTGCCTTTTGTTTGGATCCTTTAACGTTTTTATGTGAAGCCCGTTGAATCAACTTGTTTGTTGAAATGTACTGTGCAAATAAACTTGCCCCTAATACCGTTGAGCGTGCTGCTGGAGACACTATTGTGGTCTTGAACGTGAAGGTTAACAAGACGCACAGGTTTAGTGCTTGACTGGATTAAATCTTCTAATGCCCCTTGTCCCTCATCACTCTGGTCAGCATACAAACAAGAAATGCAATCGAGGATCCGTGGTTGAAGAGGTTCCAGGAGAAGACTCACTGCTGCCAGGTCAGTCATCACGTCACATCCCACCCGTGTGGGGGATCCCGTCCGTCTGCACAACGCACAGCTCCAACGACAGCCTCGTGTCCTGAAAAGCGCCCAGATATTTTCTTGCCAACAGTCGCCGAAGGTCTTATTAAGTATCAGCCGCACAGTGGAAGTCGGAATCCTCGGTAAACACTGCTGATGACCTCCGCGAGGCTGGTGAGAGTTTGTGGCGATAACAAGAAGTTAATCTCTGCGCTTAAAAGTCATTTTCTACAGAGTGTGTGGAAAAGAAATGACATCCGGCGTATCCAGCAAAGCTTTTAGTAGGAGAATAAGTCACTTGCCACATGTCAGAAGATGCAGTTACAGTATGCGCACAGAAACCACGCATCCGGCCTTTTATGACATAATGCATATTACTAGAATGAAATCTTGGAATGTATCTTTACATTTAGCTCATGAATGATCCTGATTATTTTTGAGCAGCAGGCTCTATATTACTAATTTTAATCTATATTATTTATGGTATATGCATCATGTGACTTCAGCATTCTGTGCAAAATCTTCCATCACATATTCCAAATAGAAACATTAGTTAAGTTAATTGGGAAGGAAACAAAAAAATACATTTCTCTGGTTGCTGGAACTGATCCATTAGGATTTGACCGGAGATAAGACAACACATTTCCTTAAAGCTTTGCCTAAGCCGGGGAATCACATGGACATAAGAAAATAAGTGACAGAAATGTCAATGTTCTTTTGCTCCTCAGAGCGTCATTGAACAGGCACAGCCGCACCCTCAGCAATAGTTACACGGATTTAAAAAACGAAGGCATGATTGCTTTCTTTCGCGAGATAATTTCATATCTATTCATGGCTTCACATCTCACTCAGCTGCTTAAAAGGAGCCGTTAGCATTGTGCATGGCTATCTTTGTGAAGAGAGATTAACAGCCGTTGAATAGTATCATTTATTTTTGGACACATGAACACCTTCATCTAGAAGCATACGTGGCTTCAAAGTTCACCGCAGGCCGAAGCGCTCGATAGACTGACTTCATTTGTACTTCAGTGACAAATTCTACTCAAAGCTGCTAAGAGTAGAATTTGCCCCTAAACAGCCTCTAAGGATTAGTCTTCATAATCTGCCATTCACTGATCCTCGAAATCATACTGTCTGGGTGCTGTGAAATCAGCTTAGTGACAGTAGATGGTGTGTGAGTAGTTTTATGATTGGGATTGCATGCCATGCAAGCCTTATTTACAGTAGCAACAAATGGGAGGAAAAAAAAAGACAATTGCTGAGGGAGAACGTCACTTCCAAGCCGCTCGGAGCGCCGGACCACCTGCAGATCTACCACGTGAGGCGGTGAGGTTAAGGCCTTTCCGTCTGCTGCTGCGCGCCACACGATGCCTGGTAGTGAACTGAGCATCTCTGGGTGAAAATCTACGGCACGAGGTTCCAGAGATCTGAGCCGGGGAAAGGCGGCGTGAGTAGGACGTGCATGCTGGTGCAAGGACAGACCACGCAGACAAAGTTGTGTTTCCTGCCAAGAGGTCTTTATATGGATGGCATTAGGGTCTAAATCAAACAACTCTCCATTTAAATAAGACTTAACAGTATGTGGAAGTTTGGTTGCAAAGACACTTGGACAATCATCGGGTGCAAAATACCAGATGGGGAGGACTAAGCTGTGCGGTGCCTTAGAAAGTTAGAAATGAATCTCAATGTTCGTCATTGAAAGCCGAGTCGGTTCCGGTTGTGTTGATTCCTCAGAACATTAATCCTAGGACTCGAGGGGAATTTTCTTGGAAAACACAGGTATAATCCATGTAGGATTTTCAATCTATATATCAAATAGACTGATAAACAGGTCATCAGTGTGAAGACCAACAAGCCCTGTGAACATTGCTTCAAAATTAGAAAGTACTATCATAATTTATTAATGAAGTTATAAGCATATCATATTTAGCTATAGACAAAGCAAACAAATACAAGCATTCTATTTAACAGCAACTTTAACCAATTCTGATGCAGGACACATACATTCATAGGACAGACAAACAAAAATAAAACAAGAAATGATTGGTCTAATTATTTACCATGTTACATGTAATATCAAATATAAAAGAAATGGAGGATTTGATACCGCTTACACGGAGACACTTTTTCACATTAGGAATGTGCTTTTTCGGTTCATTTTGTAGCATAAATATGTCACTTTGCTCCATGAACGACACATTCTAGCAAGCAAATACAGTGGACTCTCTGGGTTTGAGTCCTTACGACAAACAAACAGGGGAAGTAAATGTTAATGGATCCCGATTTCATGAACGTGAATGTCTGATCACTTTGTGGTTCGACAGAGACGTCTACGCAGAGCTAGAAACTGCCAGTTTCTTCAAGTGGTCCATGAAGACCTGCAAGCTGACGTCATCTGTGAGAATTGGGGCACCCGTCTCCTGCAGATTCACAAGAAGCAAATTAGACAAAAACAGAGAAGCCGAGCACTTTATGCAATTAGTGGACAGAACTTTATCATGTAACTCTGATCCCACGACTGTTTTAGTAGAGCAAGTGTTTTATCACTAAGATTGGCTTATGCAGGGCCGGGTTCTCTAGACAGCCTCATTGTCGGACAGCTGTGGATGTAATCACAGCGTTTATGAATAGTGGCGTATAGTTCTTAACTTGGGAAATAAGAGATTCATGCTATTTTCAGCCTTCAATCTCCCATCATTTATTTTAGAGGTTAGCAAATCCAAGACCTGTATTTTAGGGCAGCTCTCTTTTCCCCCGAGGGGAATTAGTTTGGAGGCAACATGTAAAATGACAAATTTCTAAAAAAAACTTTCATGAATTGTCATTTCATACTGATATGCTATGAAAGCACAGTAGAAGACCGTAATTCATTTCAGCCCACTGAAGCTGCAGCGACTGAAAATCCACTAACGTCTTTACAAAGTCTACTAGAAGAGTCGTTGACCTCTAAAAGCAATCATTCCGCATGTAGTAAGTCGTGGCTTATAGTACCTGTCCCCAGGCGTAGAGATTGTTGTGGGTCTGTGATGGGTTGACCTTCGAGAGCAGGAAGCGAGCCTGCGAGCCCCCGTGCTCGGTGTCAATGTAGCGCGGCATGGGGAAGCGTGTCTGCAGGATCTCCTGGGCGTCATCCAGGGGAGCAAGCAGCAGCTGTTTGAAGTTCTCGTACTCGGCCATTTCCTGGTAGCCGGCCTTACGCCACTGCGCGATGGTCTGGAAATGACGAGGACAACGACAGCATTAAGAAACGCTTTCTGTATCGGCTAATGTGTCCTATCCTCCGGGAAGACACTTAAGAAATGACCGATGTGACCATTTTTTGGAATGAATCAAATGTCGACCTGCTGGAGATTTAAACGAATAAAACCGGCTCACCTCTCCATGGTAAATGACCAGCTGGAAGAACGTGTCCATCAGCAGGATTCGATCCGGCAGGATACTGCTGCTGTCAAGGAGGACGGGCTGTGAAGAAACACACGTTGGAGCAACTCAA